GCTGTCTTTCTTAGCACCAGTGATTCACATACTCTCCCCACACTCCAGACTAAACTGGCTGGGAATGTGAGATCTGAGTTTCCTAAACATGGCGTCTGTTAGGACATGTTGGCTCGGGTTTGACAATCCCACCAGCATCTGCTGCCGATTAAACAGCTGGTAGAAACAATGTGTGACAGGAGAATGTAGCGCGGGAATGAGGCACCGGAAGACAGAGCATCTGTACATCATTAGAGCTAAAGATGTAATTGAGAGGTTTTGATTTATGAATGAATGAGTCATAGAACTGTGTAGAAATGTGCAGATTAGGATTTTTACTGGTAGTTGTTAATTCATAATTTTTGCCCCATAAACTTTCTTTTATTTTAGGGTTTAATGTTACATGTCTGTCACGAGCCAAGTACAGTCAGTGATTGCAGTCAGTACTTCTTGATTATCAGCAATTAAAAAGCAAAATCCTCAAGTGTATCCCTACTCAGTGATACAGTCTCAGTCATCCTTAATTTTTCCCGCTGATTTCGCCTTTCAGGTGTTAGTTGTTCCGATGAGGACGAGAAGCCTCGCAAGCGAAGGCGCACGAACTCGTCCAGCTCGTCTCCGGTGATGCTGAAAGAAGTTACCAAGGTGTCCCCGCCGGTATCTAAGAACATCACGGTGCCCGTGAGCGGCAGCCCCAAGATGAGCAGCATCATGCAGAGCATCGCCAACTCCTTACCGCCTCACCTGTCCCCCGTCAAGATCACCTTCACCAAGCCCACCATCCAGACGACCAGCACCACCACGCAGAAGGTGACAGTCGAACCCTACCTCGGCTCGTCTCTCTAGACGCTGCTTCTGAGTTTAAACGTCTCGTGTTTCAACAGGTGATCATCGTGACGACTTCCCCGAGTTCCAATTTCGTGCCCAACATCCTGTCCAAGTCCCACGCCCACAACAACGCCACCGCTGTGTCAAAGCTGGGGTCCACCTCTGTGCTGACCACACCCACACAAAAGCAGACGGTGGTTTTTCCAGCCAGCTGCAGCACTTCCACGAACCCCAACGCCATCGCCGTGACCACAGTGGTCTCCTCCACACCATCAGCGGTCATGTCGACGGTCACACAGTGTAGGTTCCTCTTCTGTGCTTAGTTTTTCTGCCAGGTCCATCTTCAGACAAAACAAAAACGTGTGTGCTCCCAAAGGTGCCGAGAGAACAGCAGGGCTCAAAATAAATTAGTTAGTTAGTGAATCAGAAAAACACCAGATTATTCTCAATGATAATTATTCAGTTTGGTTGTAATGTGCAGTTTTCCATGGCTCTGTGCCTTTAAACTCCAGTGCTTTGTAGGTTGGATTGCCTGATACGACACATGAATTTAAAGCTGTATTATTAACTGTTTTGTCCACTTGGGGGCAGCAGAGAATAACAACTTAACATTTCAGCTAATTAAATTTATAAAAATACATTTGAGTGAATAAATATGTCAAATATTAGGGTAAAGCAGTAAAACTCCGACTTGGGAGACTGAGCTTTTTTTTCCTTGATGACTCAGTTTATGTAGTTATTAATATAGCTGCTGATTTCATTTCTGTTCATTTACTACTCTACCAGTAGAGTGCTACTATTACTTGTTAGGGACGTACCTTATCTTTCCAGTACAAGCTGAAATCACTGGATCGGTTATATCAGTGGTGTCCAAACCAGTGCCGGCTGGTGTCCTGCAGGTTTTAGATGTGTCCTTGATCCATCGCAGCTGATTTAAATGGTTAAATTACCTCCTCAACATGTCTTGAAGTTCTCCAGAGGCCTGGCAACGAACTAATCATTGGATTTGGGTGTGCTGACCCAGGGTGAGATCTAAAACCTGCAGGACACTGGCCCTCGACGCCTGGAGCTGGCCAAGCCTGGGTTATATAATCTGATACGATCCATCATCTTCTAGAAGCAAGTCTTGCCATTCAGAAACATTATTTAAAAGTGGTCACCAGGACTTTCAAACTGCATATATAGATCTACAAAATCTGATTTAAAAAATCCTTAAAAAGTTTCCAAAAGTTATTTTTACCACCATCCTTGCTTTTGGCAAATTATCCAATTGAATTCTTTGAGTGTCTTCCACCTTTCATGGTGTATCTGGCCTTAATTGCTTAATGTCAACATGCCATAAAGACTCAAAACTGTCATGTTATCAACAGCTTAGTTGCTCAAGAGAGGGGAAAAAGGCAGTAATTAGTATTAGTGGATAGACATGACAAAGTAGCATCAAGTTAACCTCAAAATCTTTACTGATTAAAATGATTTTGACTCATTAGTGTAAAAAGATTTAAACTTGTGGGTTTTAATATGATTTTAACCAGATAATCTCTCTTAAATGTTCAATCTTCTAGTTTTGCAAACATAACATTAGACATGAGGGAGAGGAACCTTCTTTGGGACGTCACCTGTTAGGTTTTGAATCTTACCGTCAAAGTTGTTGGTTGCAGGTGGAGTTTCAGCTGGAGTGAAGGTCTCTACAGCCAGACTTCCTTCACCTAAGACACTGGTGGCCTCACCCACTCAGATCCTGGCCCAGTTCCCCAAACAACAGTCACCCAAACAGCTGCAGCAGAGCTCGCCTTTAGGAGCGTCCAACATCGGTCAGACCCAGACCACCACCTCCTCACCGGGAGCCAAGCCCACCATCCAGATCAAACAAGAGTCCGGTAACCATGACGAGCCTTTATTGTTTGTTTGCGTTTCAGTTCTGTCATTTTATTTCATTTTAACCACGTGCTGTTTGCAATACCTGTATTATATCTATATCGCAAAATAAGCTCATATCTATTTTCATATGACGCACAGCTGTTTGAAAAGAAACAAAGCACGACAGTGAATCTGTTTAGAAAGTGAATATCGTGATACGACCGCACTGTTTGTTAATGTGTGGTTTGTGTGCAGGGGTGAAGATCATCACTCAGCAGGTGCAGCCCAGCAAAATCCTGCCCAAGCCTTCGGCGGCTTTGTCCAGCAGCAGCTCTTCTCCCATCATGGTTGTCAGTAGCAACGGAGCCATCATGACCACAAAGCTGGTCACTCAGCCCACAGGTGAGTGGGGGCGAGGGGATCAAAAACTCCACATCTGATCCAGGAAAGGAGAGATCGCGTGTAACTTAAAGGTCGTCTTTGTGACCAGAGTAAAACTGTTGCTGCTAATGACGCCTGTGACTCTTTGTCATTCAGATTTCATCATAGAGTATTTAAACGGAGTTAAATATCTCAGCGGTAATGTGGCAGCTTAATTTAATCCTTGATGGAGACGCTCCTGTCGATATCTTTAAGGTGGACAACAGTAATTCTGTATTCCTTCGTGTAGCTACCCAGACCACCTACACGAGACCCACTGTTAGTCCCAACATCGGGGCCAGAATATCAGCCACCAGTGGCGGGACCACTTACGTCAAGACCACCAGCGGCAGCATCATCACCGTGGTGCCCAAGTCTCTGGCCACTCTGGGAGGAAAGATCATCAGCAGCAACATCGTGTCCGGTGAGTCAGAGGGAGGTCTAGAGCGTTTCTACGTTCGGTGCAAGTTTCTCATCAGTTCTCGTCCGCTGCAGGCACGACGACTAAGATCACCACCATCCCCATGACCTCCAAGCCCAACGTCATCGTGGTGCAGAAAACCACGGGCAAAGGAGCGACCATCCAGGGACTGCCCGGCAAGAATGTGGTCACCACGCTGTTAAATGCTGGGGTCAGTTGATCAGCGTGATAGCATTCTCACACGTGCGCTAAACTCATAGGAGCAGTTAATCTTTTTTTTATACAAGAGAGAAAGATTAGTCTGTCTAGAGCTTAATTTAACATTATATAATATTTAATATCAATAATATAAAATGCTTGTGTAACCAACATATGAGGTGTAGTGCAGAACTGGTTATTGGGGAAATCATGCGGACTTCCCGGCTGTAATTAGTTTGTGTTTGCTTTCAAAATATTAAGCCTGCTGTGTTTTTACCTCATTATTTACAACGTCTTTGACACATTTAACTTTATTAATTCAGGGGAA